AGCTGTTGACTGCTTCGATATTTTGTCTGCTCTGTTCCACGTTGAGTTCTTTGATCAGAGTGCAGTGAAGATCGAATTTCCGTCCACACTTAATCACTGAATCGAGTTGGCGGAACCAGGCTATGAAAAAGAAGAAGAATGCTTTTGCTGGTGAAGCTACAAATATCAGTACAAATAATGAAGAAAGCCGCTGGCTTCATTTCAAGTTAGTTTATATAATCATACTTATTATAAAACCCAGGTTGTGTGTGTGTGTGTGTGTGTGTGTGTGTGTGTGTGTGTGTGTGTGTGTGTGTGTGTGTGTGTCTGTACGTTTATATATTGGATCAGATTTCCTACATTTTTCAACCGATTTCAAAAAAACTTCACAGGACTACGTAAAATTACATTGCGGTAGTTCTGAGAGCGCCAAAAATTGGAAAAACACAATTGTCAATTCGAAGTCAATTTGAAAACACGATTAAGAGGCATCGAATGAAAGGGGGACAACTCATATCGAGTTATACTTATTATAAAACCCAGATAAACCCAGATTGTGTGTGTGTGTGTGTGTGTGTGTGTGTTGTGTGTGTGTGTGTGTGTGTGTGTGTTCGTTTATATATGGGATCGGATTTCCTACATTTTTCAACCGATTTCAACAAAACTTCACTTTTTTTTTTGCAGGTAGTGTTTCTTATTGTCTTACACACTTTTTTCTTTATTTTTACATTCAGAATGCTTTAAAAATTCCATTTACAAGACAATTGTTTATAATAAAATTCTATTCAATCGGTAGACTCATAACGATTGAAAACAAAGTTTTTGAGTTTGGGTTTGACCAATTCGTAAAAAAAAAAAAAAAAAAAAAAAAAAATAATTAAGACATGCATGTCCGTCAACCTTAAACAATAAGCTTTGTCAATTTTATTTTTCAGTCTTTATGATGGTCGATATTTGATCTATCTCTTACTGTTACATCCCCGGGCAACGCCGGGCTCTACTGCTAGTCGTTGATACAACAAAATTAACCCTTCCCGTTCGACTCTCTATCATGACGCTGTATGTCTTGATTCTAAAACTTGGAGTGGTTTAAACATTCACACGAGATGTTGGGTTGTCGGGACTTTTCGTTATCATTTCTCCACATCTGCAATACTCTTCGCTGGCACATGTTAGCAATTCTTACGTGACTTCCTCCAGAGTCTTCCGGTCCTCGAAGAACTCGAGCGCCCTCGGCTGGCGTCTCGTGGCATCTGATTGCTTTTTACTCAAACAGCGAATGCTACAACTTCAACCAAGCGTTCGGTTTATATGCATTTCACCTATTACAACCCTTCAAAGCTTATTACGTATTAATCAATTAATTATTCTCTACAATCATGGAATCATAATATCGACCCTAAAATGAAGCAGTCTGGTACTTTAAAACGATAAACTATGCTTTTACATTCTTCTTACCCAACAATTATAGTTTAATATATTTTTGTTTCAAAAAATTTATTTCAAATCGGCAAAGAATTCACTCTGTTTTTAGAAATCCCTTTCTTTTCGCAAGCGATAAGTTTCTTGTCCATAAATCGTATTCCAAATCAGCAATTTCTTCTGGTTTTCGATGTACCAAATCCTGACCTCGAAAATTCTTTTATTTACTTTCCAAAACACACAAGATTATTTATATTCTATCTTCTGTTTACACTTTCAATACGGTCTAAATATTGCCTGCTACAACCGGCCGTTTTTATCCATACAAAATTATTTCATAACATAACTAATTCACTCATCATTTTATCAGGAAAAAAATTCTATTTTTTCCTCAGTTCATATTCCATTTCCTCGTTCTCACTTCACGTTTTCTTGTTTAACGTTTGTTTTTAACCCTTTCAAAGCTCACAGTTCTATACGTTTTTTGTTTTACATGAACTCTTTCAATCTTAATTCCAAAACACCAGTGTCACGATAGTGTCACATTCCTTTCAACTGCCACCAGTGATCCTTTATTGCGTCATTGAAAGTTTCGAATAACACGGAAAGGTATTAATGTATTTCTAAAGTTCAACGGGAATGGTCTGCATGAAGATCGAAAACAAGTTCAACAAATAGAGAAAAATAGAAAGATGTATATGGCAAAAATGGCATTTAACCAGTGTATCTAATGTATCATAAGAGAGCGAGGAAAGCTACTGGCTCTATTATCAGCAGGTATAGTTTTCCACTACATAATACATTGATAAGACTTTTGATGGTAGTCTATGAAAATAAGCTGTAAAAACCTTTATATTAAGTAATAAAATAATTTTAAAGAAAAATAGGAAAACTATTAACTATAAGAAGTTATAATACATGGACACCAGCCCAAGATGTGAACCACATATTGCATAAATAATTTTTTGAAAATTAAATTAAATGGTTTAGTAAAATTTTTATGATTTCGCCCCAGCATGTTTAAAACGATTGTGTTTATTTAGAATGATTTATTGTTTTTGCATTAATTTTTTAACTTTAATATCTAAATTTAAAAGAAAATATAAATTTCAATAAAATGGTAAAAGCGTGGTAAAATTTTCCAATTAAATATATAAGAAATAATGACTTATATTTTTGAGGAATATTTGACTATTAGAGCTACTGAAAATTCACACATAAATATATACGGAAGTATATTCTGCTGTGTTTTTACAATGTTTATTTCGAACATTTGAATAAATAAATATTACCCATTTTTCAAATAATTGTATTTAATATTCTTCTTTTAAAATAACTCTGTTGTTTTTAATATTCGTTTTTTGAAAGTTACGCTTTTATTTACTTTAGATATGGAATTTTAAAAAAAATTTAAATATATATAGCTTTTCGAAATTATTAGACAAATTAAAATGCAAAATCGAACGGTAATAATAATTTATTCCTGTTCGTTTTTACTTTTTATTTCTAAGAATTTCGAAACGCTAACATAGTTAAAATGCATTCTAATGCAGTTATGTATTTTTAAATTTAAAATATCTTCACAAGTGTAAATCATATTATGATAATTTTTTGCAAAAAAGGTGGGTTGGGATACTGATACTATATATATATATATATATATATATATATATATATATATATATATATATATATATATATATATATATTGTCCTTAATTATTGCAGTTTATTAGTTTTAGGCAGACCCCAACGACACACACGCAAACACACATGCAAACAACTGCCCTATATATCTATATAGATAAATTCTCGAAAAATGAGAAACAGTAGGTAATGGTAAGAAAAAGACGAGTCTTATTAATTATTTGGTTGTTATATGGTGTTGGAGACACGGGAGACAGTAAGACTGAATAAAAGTGTGAATAGGAATTCGACAGAATGGTAAGATGAAGAATGAGTAAATTGTATACAGTCTTTCTCTTAGTTTTTATATACATATATGTAATGAGAGTCCAAATAATTTAGTTGGAAAATAAAAGAAGTGTCTGGAATTTTCGTACCTCCATTTTATTTTATTTTATTTGGGGGTGGGTATTTATAGACAAACGTTACCATTGAACTCTGCAAAGGAAAGAGAGCCGAAATTTTTGTTAACCCAGCTGTTCCTGAGAGTGTCACGTGTTTGTATGTGTAGATGAGAAAATTGGGAGTTAATTCTTATTGGTTTAGAAAGAATGAATTAATGATAATTAAAATTGTTATAATTATTTTATTATAATTATTTTTATAATTACTTTGCATGCATTTTTTTATGTAAACGACAAAGTTGCAGTATAATTATTTTTTTAATCAATTTATTATTATTTTAATAAATAAGTAATTTATTTTAATGCATGTTTTTTTATGGATACGATACTATCAATCACTTACCATGCTGCGTAACTTAGGACTGCTTAGAATCAAGCGCAAAATCTATAGAGGTAAAACTATTGAAATATCAAGGACAAGAGATGGATTAATATATTGTGTGAAATTATTAGATTGTTTCGAAACACCAATTACAGAATAGTATCCAATTATTACGAGACCACGCACATTCGAACAATCATTGAAACTTTCAATATTAAGAAAGATTAACTTAGTAGACAATTCCTTGATTTCTGTCTGAATTGCTGGGTGAGGAATCTTCATTATCTATATTATTTACATACCTACTATTGTCATCAGTATTGTCGTTGTTATCACAATGTTTCACTCTCTGGCTCCAAAGGGACTAAAGCCGAGTGGATTAAACGTTGGTCCATTAATTTGGTGATATCGTAATTGGGAATTCAATACTTAAGCCGACTAGTGTGTACTTGGACTCAGTGGAGATAGGGTGTACAATTATCAGTGTTTTCTAGATAAAAACTAGACGAGATATCTTTAGACAGAAGTGAAGATAATATCTACTCGTAGATTAAATAAAAGGTTTAGTTCGAAATGCCCTGAAGGTTAACCCGATTGTCGAGCATCTGATCAAGGCTGAAGAGTGCAACAGCCGATATACAGTATTATGATAACGACAACAGAATTGTCTGACTATATTTCTGAGATAAGGTATTGTAATTATTTAAAATACTACATTGTTTAGAATGTTATCTTCATTTTCTTCACATATTCACGACATATTGCCCAATGGATAAAAGCGTTGTTTGAATCCAGTGACTTAACCCAAAGAATTGTGAGTTCAATACCTGGCTACAGCAGAGGTAAACAAAAACTGTGAGAGTTATTAAACAGGTACAGTTTATGGTAAACACGTACACAGATGTTGAAATGATTAAAGATGCCTAACAAAGCAGACAGAAACGTGATATAACAAATGTTACCGTACATATTAACTGGATATTAGGTTGCAGTAGCAACGGCGCTACACATTACATATACAAGCTTAGGGCGTGAAAAAGATTTCATCAAAATCTGAGAAATAGGGAGCGAATATAGCAGCCATTTGTATAGAAGTTCGTTTCTCTGATGGTTGATTAGATAGGAACTGTGACTCACGATAGCTGTCCATTTGCTCCGATCTTTTGTCAAGCTTTGTTAATAGGCTGACAACTATATCACATCGCAACACCATTTCTCGTACGATCACCGAAGTTAAGCAATTTTGAACCTGATCAGTATATAAATGGGTGACCACTGGGGAATAGCAGGAGTTGTACGGTTGGTGTAATATGTAAAGGCTCAGAAAGTGAAATTGAACATCAGTGTTCGAATTCCATTCGGGTATATTATATTTACTAACGTGCAGTTAACATTGAAAAGTTATGAATTCACTTCTTTTCCTCCCAGGTATGGGTTGAATATTTTCTCAAAATAACATTATCATCTGCAAAAAATTCTTACAATGCCAAATTAGGTTTCGAGTTTAAATAGCCAAAAAATGGCGTAAAAAATAAACCTATCAATGAATAAATTTAATAAATTATCAGAGTTCATATTGTCACGTCATATCAGGTTGAATCACCGATCCAATCACTCAAGTTAAGGTACTTTGAGCTTGGTCACTACCTAGATGAGTGAACGCCCGAGAATACCAAGTGATGTGAACATGGATGTGCAACTCGGAATGAGAAATTGGGAAGAACAAAATTCGAATTCATATTAAATACGTTACAGTCACTTACACTCAAATATTTTTTATGAGCGGTTTAAATCTATCCCTTCCCAGCTACGGGTTAAATAGTTGGACAGACTCTTAACTTCGTTTCTACAACACGTATCGAGGTTAAGGCAATGAGCCATTCTTCTCGATGGTACGAGAATCGTGTCTAATTCATCTCCATGTTATGACACCAGAATTTAACAGTCTGTTCCTGTTGGGTTACCGGATTTAAATTAAAGTCCAACAGCTTCTCCTACCTCGATGATCAAACGTAGTACATGAACGGGACAAATGGAGAATCATGGTGAAGACCTACATTCATCAATGTACCTTCCCATGCTGAAAATGAAGGAAAATTAAAATTGACATAGCGAAATGATTAACCAACACTCACACAGACCTTTTCGTCTCGGCTACTTGATCATCACAAAAGGAGTTGTAGGCTTGTACCAATCCTAGCTTTTCTTAATAAAAAGCTAAAGAAGCACTTAGATTAGCGTGATGTATAGTTTGCCTGAGTAACAGACGTAGTTGTTCGTGCTGTCAGTTCAATTTCTACGAGATTTCACACTTTGTGACTGTACCAGAATCAAAGGAACTTATTAACTTTATGCTTTCCTCTGTGGCTGTGATAGTTGGATAATTCGAGTTATTTACTCGCTTTTGAATAAGGTCAGATTTGACAGATTAAATTGAGATCCACAGCAAGCGTGGAAAAGATTACATCTTATGTTAAATGGTCATTGATTTGAGACTAGATAAAAGTAATTTTGGAAAGTGATATTGAAGTGTAGTCAAATTCTTGACATTCGGGATATTGACGTAATATAACTTATTATGTTTCGTCAAACATGTCTATCACTCTATCATGTAAATCTTGTATTTTATTGATCCTCGATTACTAAATATAACCAGATAATCAATAAATGCTACAAAGACAGGTAGAAGTCGGAAATAAGCAAGGCTTTATTAGAATAATGCATAGAAAGCACTCATTACCATTTTAATATTAGTTTCTCTGTGTATTTACAAGAGTAGAATCACAAATAGATTATTGTTGAAGATGAACTGAGAGATTTAATCAGGGATTTGAATTCATTAAAATAATCAGCAGAAATCTTAGCTTCAAGACCAAAGGAGAAAAAATGGCCTTAAGGGAGGAACAAAAGTTACATTTTCTCGCAATAGAGATGCTGAATATGTCTTCTAGACCAATCAAAAGAACAAACTGAAATATTGTAACGATATCGAAGTTTTCCTGCGTTTTTGGTATCCAGGACTATGATGCACATATATAGAAACTACTCTTTGATAGTTTAATGACAAAAGGACGCAGGAGTAGGCTTTAAGAAAGCTTTATTCAACTGAGTATACAAGGTTCGTGTATGGTGTCCTTTTATAGTCTCAGTAAACAGAAATAGCTCTCTCAAAGAGGAGAATAACGAAATAAGGGGAGTCCACTCTTGGTTATTTATAACAGATAGCTCAGTCTAGTCTAACGTTTTTTTACAGCACAACACAAATGTATACGCATTAATACCAGATGGATATTCTACAATGCTGAAATAAAAGTATGAACCCATCAACGAGGTAATGAAAGGAATATATAACTTTACTCATAGCTGAGTGATTTGCATTGACCTTAAAATGGTTAGGTTTTTACTTGAGCGGAATCCAAGATAAACGAAGTTCTCATTCGTTCTTTTTATGGGACAGTAGAGCCAGAGATCAACACTGGAATAGAAAAGAATGGCTGGTCAGAGTAGAAAGTCTTTGAGAAATATGTCATAACAGATCCGCTTGTTCCCAGAAACAAAATCATCTTCAGTACTCTCAATATCCAATTAGGACTCATCAAACAGTTTGTGAGTGCATTTGACAAGGAAGGCCAATATTTTCATTACATTTGCAATGCATGTCCTGGTTTCAGAAGAGAAAAGCTGAAACAAGGCATTTTTGATAGACGTGAGATTCGAGAACCCATCAAGAATGACAACTACGTCAACGTTATGAATATTATTAAATCAATTGCTTCAATCTCGTTTGTAGCTGTAATAAAAGACTGGTCGACTGGATATAAGCAAACTGCCGGGAGATTGGTGCTTACTTGAGTATCAAACTAAATTTCCTTCATAGTTATTTGGACAGGATAGAAAAGTCATGGTGGACTGATATCAAGGGAAATGAGATAAAAAAAAATAATGTCAAATTATCGTTGAGGCCTGAAAAGAGACTAAACTGGTTCATTCGCGAAAATAAAAAAATAAAAAATCTTACAATAATTTTCGTTTTTAATTTTTAACCTGTTTTTTTAATGTAATTTTCTTGCTACCTCATAGTATATTCCATACGCATAGATGTTCATTTTTCGATTTTCAGAAAAAAATGTCTTAAAATTAGCAATTCTTTTGCTTTTTGCTCATCATCTGAATCAATACGACTAAAGCTTACTGAGAGAAATGTCTATAATATTGGGATTCAGTGACATGAAAATGTTTAAAATTAAGTATGATATCCCTCGTACCATTTCGAAAAAAGGTTTTTAGTAAAGTGATATCAATATATATGTTTTGCTTTTTTCTATCTCTTTAAAAAAATTTTTGGCAATTTTTCTCACTTCGTAAAATAGTTTCTTCTTGAACACCCACTCGTTTTCATTCTTGCCATTTTAATTATATTCAATAGAATTCTTAGAGAATTTACTTGTTCTCTTGCCAATGTTTTCAATACATTTTTGATAATTCCTTGGTATTTGTTCAAATTATCGCAATTTCTAAAAATGAGTTCCCACATTAGAACACACAACAATTTTATATACCTTCAATTAAAAAAATAACAGCAATAAGTATACATTAATGTATTTATTTAAAATCTAGGGAAAAAAATCGTGTTACATAATAAAAGCTTCCGATATACTTTTGTAAATATTTCTAATGAAAAGAGATTTTCTCTAAGCTGAAATTCCATCTTTGATATCAACACATTCTGAAACGTTTAACCACATTCAGTATTCTTAAACCACATTCATTATTCTAAAAGCACATTTATTATTCTAAAATCATTGATTTGCATCAGAAATGTGAATGTATTATTCCATTCGAAAGTTATTCATTTAGTAAAATAATCAGGAAGTATTCGACATTGATTATTTTACTATTTTACTTATTTTGCATTTCCAATCTAACAGTTTTATATTTCTTTTATTTCAAAGATCTTACCAGTTATTATTAAAATTTATTTTGTAAATTCATTCTTATTTAAACCTTTTTAAATACGCTTCTATTTTATTGACTTTTACCGTCATTTTCCTGAATCCGCTTCTTATAAATCTTCTTTACGGCCTCTTTCATTTTCCTTCCTTTTATTTTGATTTTTCTTCTTCATTACTTCCATTCTACGCTCCTTCTTTACAGCCATTTTGGATTTTATTTCTTAATTGCTCATTCTTTTAACATTTCTTCATTATTCTGGAATTTCGAATTTTGTTCACTTTAGCAGCCTTTTGTTTATATTTCTTCTTTTTTCAGTTTACTATGCTGCCATTTGAACATTTATTCTTTTGTTTTGTGATAATTTTTACTCTACTTCAGAGCATTTCGATTTATTTTTTTATTGTTTTTGACTTTTATTTCATTTCAGTTTTGACATTCATTCTTTTTCATTTTCATTCTCTCTGTTATTTCATTTATTTCTTACTTTAAATTCATCGACTTTTGGCATTCTTCGTTATTTTTCTTTCTTTTCTTCTTCGTTATTGTCATTATAAATTCTTTTTTTATTTAACCTTTTAAATGTGCTTCTTTTTATTTCCTTTTAGTGCTGAATACTGGCCGTATTGGAAACATTTTCATTCCTAATTATCATATTTTTAGAAAGGGTTCTGAATGATAATAGAAGATGTGAAACAGCAAAATAAAAACGAACCACTTATAAGATGGCAATTATTAGAGATGTATATTAATTTAAAATGGCCAACAACTTCTGCATGATGTTATATCTTTATTGACATTCTACACAACCTATTTTCGTTATCTTCTTCATATTTTTCATTCCTTTTCTACTATTCATTCTTCTTTATCTTATTTTTTCATTACTTTTTCTTTAGAACCTTATCAACATGTCTGTCTGCCCTGTTCCTTTGATTTCGAATAGCTGATATAATTTAATTTTTTAACATGTTAAACGCTAAAATGGCTCATTTTTTCCATATTCTCCTGGGAAAATAACTATATTTTTTTCGCAATTTTTCTCATTTCTTGACTCCTTAATATTTGATATCATGATTTCTTTAAAATATTCATTAATCTACTGCATAATTTGAGCATTTATTTCAAAGAATTTCAAATGGCGTAAAGGGGTAAGCAAGACAAATGCAAATGTCAGATAATGGCAAATATCTCGTCTTATCGATCTTCTAAGCCAATCACTCATTTTCCTTTATCATATTTGTTAACACAAAATCTATCTCCCAAGCCTGAAAGAGTATCGTAGTTGATGTGACTGACTTCATCACCAAAGCAATTTCCTCTATTCTTACTGGATTTCTTACTTATCTTC